TATTATTCATTATTATTCCTCCAAGAAGAAGGACACTGAGTCGCTGCTCCCTGGAGAAGTCACCAAAACTACCCAGACTCAAGGAAAGAGCGAATATGAGCTCTGCCTGAGCAGGTGGAGGGTGAGGTCACTAGTCCTGGGGACATGTGGCCAGCAGCCTCGGCAACCACCCAGCTCACACAGACAGTGAGGGGAACCAAGCACACCTTGGTTCTGCACGGTTCTACAAGAAAGGAACTACCGTGAAGAATCTAAACTTAACCCTCCACCTGAAGGTTGCATGTGTCTTTCTGCATCAATTTTCAGCAACAACTCCCAAAAGAAGTCCTGATAGGAAAGGAGGAATCCTGAATCCATCTGAAAAAGCCCCCGTCTCGGCCCTCTTCCGTTAAATGGTCTGCGTTTGGCAGGAAAATAAGTCTAGTGGATTTCAAGGTGTTTTTTCCTTTCCCTTCCCTGCTCTATTTCAATAAATGTGCTAGCTGCAAAGGCAGGGAAATACCAGTTGAAGGAGGCTTCGTCTTTGAAATGAGGTTTCACTATGTAGCCCAGGATAGCCTCAGATGCCTCCGGCCCCTGACTCCTGAACACTGGGATTGGGGGCAAGTATACCACACCCGGCCAGCACGGAATTTCTCTTTCAAAAGTCAAAAGCCTTCAGCTTCCCCAAATGAACACAGTTCTCCTTGCACCTTCCTCATCAGCTTTTATCATGAATACAAAGAAAATCCTTCTGTCTGTGACCCCTGCCTGGAGGGGAGAGCATCTGGTGTCATTCCATAAATGACAGCCCGGCTTTGTCATTCTCTTCCTGAACACCGTGTTCTGTGGAGACATAAGCTGGAACAACATGGTACCCCTTGCCCAACTTATCTACCCAAAGGAATTCGGAAAAGACAGGTCCCTCCCATGAATTCAGCGAAAGAAGGGTTCAGGAAGCTTGGGGTCATGGGGTTGGCGGGGCACCATGTCTGTGCACGACTCTGCACTAGGTCCCGAGGCTGCACAGCCACCAGGACAAGCCACTGTGCTGTGAGAACGGAGCTTCCTCCATCTCCTGGGGGACAAGACTCTTGCTGTCCATTCCAACCCTTAAAGGTTCGCTGAAGTTCTCGAGCAAGTGTTGTAATAGTCTTGAAGTTAAATTCTCTTCAATTAAAAAGATGTCTGCATTAACGCTATTTTCTAATCATAATGCATGCCACTCTGAGGAAAAGGCAAGAAGCAATAATAAATGTTTGATGTACTAAAGTGACCATTACAGTTTCGTGTCTAAAATCTCAAAGTTCGCTGAAGAGAAGGGGAAGGGGTGGAGGGGGGAGAGAACGAATGTGTGTGTGTGTGTGTGTGTGTGTGTGTGCGCGCGCGCGTGCACATGTGTGAGCATATAAGACCTCTGAGTGAAGTGACGGAGAAAGGTGAACATGGTTTTAAGGATGATTTAAATGGTCCTGAACATGACACCATTGACAAGGACGAGCGCCCCAGGACCCCCATCCCCTTTTGCACCGCTAATGCTCACATTACCAGAAGGATGCTCCAGCTGTCTCAAACACTCTCCAAGCCTTCCTATGCAACAGGCTGGTTTCTACTTCACCAGCCTCAGAAGCTTCGGAGTTGGTCCCTGCCATCCAGCAGGCTCAAAATCCTCTGGAGAGGGATATTTGCTTTTGATTTTAGAAGTCAATTCCTTACTATGCTGTTTCACAGCAATTAAAAACAAAAAGAGGCATTTTGTAATGACGGTATTAGAGCAGGGCGCCAGTGGCTCCATTTCCCGTCTCATCTTAAGCAGTGTTGAATTAAATTCTCTTTGGGTTTTCTATTTCCCAATTCTGTCAACAAAGCCGTGGGTACCACACAGAAACCTAATCCCTCCCCGAGACAGAGGACTCCAAGGTAGTGGAAAATCCATCTTCTAACGAAGGCTCTGAAGTTTCTTGCTCTCGCCAGGACCTGCAGAGCAGGCAGTATTCAGATGCCAGCAGTTCCTGAGCCGTACACGGCCTGGAGCCGCCCCCCTTCCCCTACCTGGCCGGCGGCTTCACTCAGCTCTCAAGAGCAGGTTAAAGCCCCCCACCCCCACCCTGCTGTCTCAGTTTCATCCAGCTGTGTGTCTGCCCCCAGGCTGCCTGACACTGCATCCTTTTTACCGGGGACTTGTAGGCAGGTATGTGTCTTCATCAGCCTGGTCTGCGCTGTGGGATGGGCAAGTCTCCACCAGAGGTTTGTGTGCTTCTGAAGGCATTAGGAGAAGACGTGGGGTCTTTAGGAGTGGGTCTAGCGGAAATCCTTAAGCAGCTAGTACATGCTCTGAAAGGGAAGTTGGACTGTCTCTTTGCCCCTGGTTTGTAACCCCAGCAGGTCTGCCCTGTCGCAGGCTCCGTCCCCGGTGCCGCACCTCACCACAGGCCCCGGTCAATGAGGTCAATCCATCACAGACTGAAAACTTCAGAGGTACTCGCCAAAATAAACCATTGCTCTTCATGCGCTTGTCATCTCTGGTATTCGGCTGTAGCAATGGAAAGCTGGCCAACGCAGGCTACCGTGACAAACTACCACAGAACGGGGAACTCAGACAATAGATACTGTCTTACAGTTCTGGGGCCGAAAGTCTAAGATCAAGATCACACAACAGTTGGGTTCAGGAGAGAGCCTCCCTCCTTCCCTCCTTGTCCTGTGACCTCACACGGCACACAGACAACACAAGTTCTCTGTGCCTCTCAGAAGGACACCCATAGCAGCGTGGACTCCGCCTTCTTCACTACATCTGAAAGTAATACATCCCAAAGGTGCCATCACCAAATACCTCAACCGGGGGCATTGGGGCTTCGGAAGGTTAAGTGGGGACTGGGTGACACCACTCGGTCACAGAAGGAGGCAAGCGAGTCACAGACGCTGGCTATACCCAAGCAAGCAGGAGAGAAGGTCTCTCCCGGCTCAAGGTTGAGCCATGCAATCGGCTCTGCCCACTGAGGCACAAGGAAAGGAGACACGAAAGTACTCATTGGGTCTTGGGTGCTGCGGCTTGCCATCTTGTTCCGGGGACTCTTCTGGCACGAATGAAACTCTACACCTTCCATGCCCTGCTCCCTTGTCTGCTCACCACGGAGCCGTAGAGATTTTCTGAGCACCTACAGCTATGCGTTATCTTCTTGGGGAGAATAATTTCACCAAGTGAACACGAACGCAGAAACGCCGAGGAATGCCAGGAGGGACCTGTCCGTGCTGGATGAGTGGGAGAAGCCCGCTGGTCACTGGCAGCAGACAAGGCTTCTGACGCACCCAGGCATTGTGGCCGGACATCATCTCCCCTCCTCTTCTCCAGTGTCACCTGTCACCATCACTTCCAGACAGACACAGAGTCCTCGCTTCTAGACAGACGGAGAGCTGGCGGCCATGGGAAATGGGGGAAGAAGCTTCCCTGAGGAGCACAGCCCTTTATCTTAGTCATGGAACTGAGAGATAGGGTGTCAGCGGTTGCTAAATATGAATTCCTTCCCCTGGCCGAACAACTTGGCAAAAAGGCCAAGAACAAAACCCAGCCTTGCTCGGCCTGGGCTTTCATCTCCATGTGGATAACCGACTCACTCTGGGTCAGAGTTAGCACAAGGCGGCAGAGGAGCCTGGACCTGTGCCCTCCTCTACACACCGGCTACGCGCAGGAGATGCCGGCATCAGCTCGTGTGGTCACACCTGGAGCAACACAATCTTGTCCATCTCCTTAGGAGCCTGACCTCAAGGAGCAAACTGCCATCTGCTCCCTGACTCCACCTTCCCTTTGGTCACCTCCCCGTCACCACAGGACACAACACCCTTGAAATGTCCCTTGGCATCTGGGGCTTCCACAGTCTTTCATTTCTTCAATGGTGTGTTAATGAATTCCCCAGCTGTCCCAAGACTGTGAAGAGTCTGGAGGAGACAGTGAAGGGGCTCACAAATGGGAGAGTGAACGGCAGCAGCAGGCATACAGGGAAATTAAAGTGAGGGGGCACAAGGGCCCTCGGCAGGGAACACGGCAGGTCCACAAAGGGTCTGCTGGAGGAAAGCCGGAACTGAGATTGGATAAAGAGCCGGAACAGCATCCTGGCAAAGGAAAGACAGGTGGGAAGATGGGAGAGAAGCCAAACTGGCGGTGCGGAACCAGGCGGTGCAAAGAGGTGGGCGAGGTAGGCCGCAGCAGATGGACTTAAAGCTCATGCTTCGGAACTATGGTAGGGTCTGTTTGTCTGATTTTGTTTTAGTGAAGATGTGGGGTGTGTGTGATGTGTGTGTGGGTATGTGTATGTGATGTGTGTGGGGGTATGTATTGTTTGTCTATTTATATGGTGTGTACATGTGGTATATGTACACATGTACTGCAAGTGCACATGTGTTTGTTGGTTTGGTTTGGCATGTGTGTGTAGTTTGTAGTGTGTGTGTTTGTGTGGTGTATGTATGTGATGTGTATCTGTGTATGTATATCCATAGGCCTGTGTTTCTGATTTGGCTTGGGGTGTGTGTGTGTGTACATGAGCACATGTGTTGGTTTGGTTTAGTTTCGTGGCACAGGTGATTAAACCTAGAACCTACCATACACTAAGCCAGGATTTCAGCACTAGCTGCCTTTCCATCCTCTCTCTCCTTGTGATACAGAGACAGAGTCTCACTCAGTTGCCCATGGGACCTTAAACTCAGCCTTGAACTTGCGATCCTCCTGCCTTGGCCTCTTGGGTAGCTGTAATTTCAGATCTGGCTTTATGAAAAGGTTTACATACACCCTGGGTGGTTCACAGAACACCAGTGGAAGTCTGTGAAGGCTAGACTTTGCGCTTTTCCCAACTCCCCAGTGAAATGTTTGTAAATGCCATTTTGAAAGTTTAGGAAGAAAAGTCTGGAAAGAAAAAAGGAGGGTGGGCTCCGAGAATCATTGGTGAGACCCCGGCATAGTAGGTACATTCTCATCAGATAGTGAGAGACCTTAGGAGGCAACACCGACTTTTACAAGCTGGGTAACTCACATTGACCAGACATCGATTTTGGGGCCGTATTTCTTCCTGGCGAGCAGTTCCGGAGCAGCGTAGGCAGGGCTGCCGCACTGTGTGCTGAATGGGTCCGAGTAACCCAGGATCCCCGCACAGTTGCTCAGACCAAAATCTGTAGAGACAAGAAGACAAACACGAACTCTGAATTAGAAAATTGCTAAAACGAGGAGGAAAGAAGAAGGGAAAAAAAGCAGAAAAGGAAACATTCTCTCAGGCTAACACATAATTTAGCATCCAACAGGAAACCTGCCAGCTGCAAACCATAACCCCTGCTAGACTTCTCAAGACAAAGGCGTGCCGGGTGGTGGCTCCCTTGCTTCGGTGGAACATCTTACATCAGCCCTCGCTGCACAATCCGGCTAGACCTAACAGTGTGAGGAGCCAAAACATATTTCTATCGAGCCTTGTAAATGAGTCATCTGGGGTGAAGAGAGACTGTTAGCTTTCTAGGACTGAGGCAGGAACGGAGAGCATGCTGAGATCCTGGCTGCCTGGTGGCCTTTGGGGAGAACCCGAACGGTGACTGATTGTCTGCGGCTGGCCGTCTGCATCTCTGGCCACTTATGGCTGCCTTCTTCAGCTCGGTTTCTTTCATGAAAGTCTCTGAGAAATTCCTTCCAGAGGTATACTGTAATTTGGGGGTGGGCGGGGGAGGACTGTTTAAACAACCCTGCGTGTTGGCTGGAGAAAGAACATGCAGCAGGCTGGCGATGCCAACTAGACTAAGTGACCTCATGGCGTTGCTTTGTTCTAAGATGGGAAGGCATCTGGGAGGCCTGCAGGAAAGCCCGGATGGGCCTCACAGCTACTCTGGGTCTATTAGGAGTTCTGTGAAGGCTTCACTTTTGATCTAAAGATACTGCATCTCGAGGGTAATTAGGGAGCTGTTAGTGCTCTTCCCTCCCCCGATATCTTCCTCAATCTTTGTTGATCTCAGACTGAAGGACTGAGATCCTGGGCCATCCTTTGAACTGCACTGCAAATGCTGAGCTCCGAACCCACAGGCATAAGACTCCCAAGTTTCAGGGCAGGCCAGAGATTAGATCTGAAGAGGCTGCGACCACACCCCGTACTTTCTGCATTGGCACCATTTCTGTCTCCTTTCATGACCGCCTTTTGCTCGGCTCCACCTGCAAGTGCACACCCACCACAAAAGCCATAGGGAAGAGAAATGACAAACAGCCCAGGAGAAAACTGGGCTGCACACCCTGCACACCCTGGGTCGCGATGACGACACAGAAGAGCTCCCTAACACTTAATGGCAGTGGGCTGTATAACCGAACAGCTTGTTCAAAGAGAACCCCATGGGCTCTTTCAGGCTCCGAAGAATACCGAACCCTCAGGGATCTAGCCGAAGAACCACCAGGAAAGTTGTTCCAACACCAACCTTTCTCTTCTTTTGTCTTTGTTTGGATTGTTTTCACTTGTCCCCCTCCTCCTGTCCCCTCATGTTTACCTTCACCTGACCATTCCCTTCCCCTTTGGTCAAGTTTGCCCAACTAGGTACCACAAGAAAACACCAGAAAAAAAAAAGGCTGTCTGAACACAGAGGATGGCTAGCCTCCCATCTGAGAGAGTATCTGTTGCAATGAAGGTGAGGGGCCCTGTTCCCAGACCCCAGTAGATACTGCAGCGCACGAGCTAGGGGGGGCGGGAGCACTAGCAGGAGGGGCCCACGCCTCTTGGCTTCAGAACACCTGCTGTGCAGTCCGGAGCTCGGCCCACAGAGTGGCAGTGCTGCCGGGAGTCAAAGTTTTAAGAAAAGTTATCTTGTTAGAAGCCCAAACACACAGTGGTTCCAGAAAAATGTGTCTCTGAATTTCCAAGATTAAAGGCAAAGCTACCATTCCTCAGGTCAACGTGGGCTCTGTTTTTGTTTTTGTTTTTTTTTTTAACTCCTACAGCTGATAAACACCTTTAGTAATGTGGCAGGATACAAGATCAACTCCAAAAAATCGGTTGCCTTCCTATACACTAAGGATAATGAAACAGAGAGGGAAATCAGAGAAGCATCACCTTTCATGATTTTTGTGAGAAGCCACAAAGAGCATAAAATATCTTGGGGTAACCCTGACCAAGGAAGTGAAAGATCTATTTGACAAGAACTTTAAGTCTTTGAAGAAAGAAATTTATGAGGTTACCAGAAAATGGAAGGATCTCCTTTGTTCTTGTATTGGTAGGATCAACATAGTAAAAATGGCAATTCTACCAAAAGCAATCTATAGATTCAATGCAATCCCCATCAAAATCCCATCAAAATTCTTCACAGATCTGGAAAAGACAATAATCAATTTTATATGGAAAAAACAAAAAAACCAGGATAGCCAAAACAATCTTATACAATAAAGGAACGTCGGGAGGCATTACCATCCCTGACTTCAAACGGGGGCTCTGTTAACGCAAAGGGCGGAGTCTTTTTGGGCACCTCCTCCCTTCCCCCTCATCTGATCTATCAGATCTATCAGATAAAAGGCCATAGTACCGTCCACTGTCCCGGGCAAGCTAGGAAACAGAGCCTGGCCTTATCTCAAGAGTTTTCCAAGAAGATAAATTAGTTCAGGATTTGGGAAGCGGCAGGGCAGAACCTGCATTTAAAGTTGTCTTTATCTGGCCAAGAAGACTTGATTTTAAAGACATTGTAGAGAAATAAAGGGCAGAATATTTCACATTCATAATTATGGTTATTAAAATTTTACACGTATGTCTATAATTAGAATGGTGAAACCAGAGAGAAATTTGCCTCCCAGTAATGTCAGATAGGTCGGCCTCAATTAGATTTGGTAAATACATAAGCTAATTATCACTCAATTTTCTGAGAGCTGCAAAATGAAATCTCAAAAGAAGGCCCCAGTGAATATTCACAGCTCATCTAAGCTGGAGTTATCCCCCCTGGTGGGGGAACATCCTGCAAACATTCGGCTGCCTCTCTCTCTCTTTTTTTCTCTTCTCTTTCTTTCTTCTTCTAAGAAGAAAAATATATGATTGAATCAAAAATCTTATTCTTGATAATTCTAGCTAATTTGAAACATGGCTGAAGCAAGTTTATTTAAACCAAATGATTTCAAAAACAGGGAAACTATTAAGAAGAAATGATAATAGCTATAATCCTCTTTTAAAAAACACCTAAATAAATCCTTTGAAGGGAAGAGGTTCAAAGGGCTTTCAAGTTAACATCGTAATAATAAGGGTTAGGAAAGACCTTTGATCCACACTGCCATCCCAGGGGCTAGAGAGCTGCAGACACTTCCCCTTGAGGGAAGCAGGCTAAATATAAGAACTGGCTACCTTCTAGGCTAGGACGATGTGACTTTCATTTACAGTATCATTTAAGTCATGAATGAACTGGGAGGTGACAGAAGGAAGAGACTAAGAAATACCCAGTAACCAGGGCTTCCCTCCTCACAATTGTCTATCCTGGCTTTTGACACCAGGTCTTTTCCCAGCAGGCTTGGCCCATCCTTTACTGCCCAGTTCAATTTGGCCAAAGATGGCACTGTGTAGTTTGAGCTTGGATGGAAGACACCTCCCTGCATAGTGAACTATGACCTACCGTGACAGGTAAATGAACTGCAACTCCTCTTACCACAGGAACGGAGCCTTGGGTGGGTCAGTTGTTCAAGCCACGCTCATGAAAGGCCGCTCTGAACTATAACCAATCAGCTTCACTCTGCCTCGCTCCTGCTTGTTTCCTGTCATTTCTTTCCTTTGCTATAAACGCAACATGCACGCAGAGCAGGCCAGGGTATTCTCAATGATTTATGGTCAGGACTGCGAGACTCTCAAAGGCAAATCTGGTCTGAACAACTAGATGTAATTTGTCTTTTTACAGACTTGACTTGAAATACCTGACTGGGTGTTATCCCCATGGTTACCAGCCAGGAGGTGAGAACCCAAGAAAGTGAAGAGAGAGGTTCCTGACCTCCCAAAAGCAATCGTCATACTCATTGAGAAGAGAATTCCAGGCTCTAGCTTAGGTATGCCGTCCCTTCAGCCTGCCTAGAGTGATTTGAAAGAAAATGGCCGCCAAAGGGAGTTGCACTGTTAGGAGGTGAGGCTTTGTTGGAGTAGGTGTGATCTTAGAGGAAATGAGTTGCTGTGGAGGCGGGCTTTGAGGTCTCATATATGCTCAAGCCACGCCCAGTGTCTCGGACCACTTCCTGGTGCCTGTGGGTCAAGATGTAAGAACTCTCGGCTCCTTCTCCAGCACCATGTCTGCCTGCACACTGTCATGCCTCCCATCACGATGATAACGGACTAAACCTCTGAAATGTGCGTGCGTGGAAAGTTGCTGTGGTCATGGTGTCTGTGTGAGATTCCTCTAAGAGAGTTTATTCCTCAGCCAATCTCTGGCTACTTCTAAAAGCACCTGCTATTTCAACGAGAAACCCTCAGCACTGTGAATACAGCAGCCATGTGACCACTGGCCTAGCGTCACCGTGATAGGTTGCTCTGAGGGAATTCCTCGTCAACAGAGAGGTCTGTCTTCTGCAGTGCTGCTGTACGACGGGACAGATTTGTAAGGGGTCACCTAGGGCTACAGCCTGACAGAAAGAAAAGGCACCCAGGTGAAGGAGTGAGGAAACTGCAGTGTGGACAGTGCCCTGGGAGGACCTGGAAACTCTCCACAGGCCAGGCGCTCTGCTGGAGGGGGGCCTTATCAACAAGATGGACGCGAATTCTTGGCGCTCTTACTGTGACGTCAGTCGGCCCTCACCAAGGTTGTTCTCTCAGGGTCTCTGCTGTTAAAACATCTCTGTCACTGCCACCACTACAGTTTCCAAAGACAAATCACACATTAGCCATGGATGGGTGGAATCGCCCTCCCTCCAGCCCTTACCCTCCAAGAGGCTCTTTTGTTAAAGGCCAGAAATCCCAGAGAGTTTGACCAGAAGACATCCTGCAGGCATTCCGGCAGGGCCTCTGTTCATGGCTTCTGTGTCTGGCTCTCAGGGCATTCACGGTGAAAACAGCAAAGCAATTTAACGAAAAGAAAATCACTGGTGTGCTCTAAATCACCTGCTAAAAATAGGTCCTTAAAGGGCCTTTTTTGGGTGGGGAAGATTGGTTTCCTCGGAACTGTTAATTTTCCACTAACGGGTAAACCAGTCCATCACCACCTGTCAGAAGGCCTAATCAATCGCGCAGAAAAGCCGGCTGGAGTCCCTCAGCCCAGGAGCAGCGTATCCCTCACTGAGTGGGATCCCAGATGCCAGTGGGTCTCGCGTGTGAAGTAGGAGAAGAAAGAAAAGTGAGAAATGAGAGTTGGCGCTGGCTACCTCATGGCTGGATGTGGACTTTGACAGCCAAGAGCAACTACACACAAGCAGAGCATCACCAGCAAAAATAACCCAGTTCTTCCTGAACAGCCACGGGGAAGTCACAACCTCTAAAGTCCTGCAGCTTCCCTTCAGCGGACCCAGGTTCTAGCCATCCCCCTGCTGGCCCCTCTCTTCACAGCACCCAGCCTGCTGCAAAGTTTGCATGAGATTCTACGGAAAAGGAAAAGCTATTCTCGCCCTTCCTTGTCCTGGGGCATCCTCAGATACACAGTAAAGGGTAATAAGATATGAAGAAGCTATGGGCAATGTTGCTGAGCCAAACTATTTTCTACTACTAACAATACATTTTCTTGCTAATTCACACTTAAAAACACAATGCTTTAAAAGTTGAGGATCGTCTACAAAGGGACCCAAGTTTGGGTTCCGAGCACCCAAGGGAAAAGCTGGTCATGGTGGCACATGTCTGCAGTTCCGCTGTTCAGGACGCAGAGGCAGGAGGGTCCCTGGTGCTCCCTGGCCTCACGGCCTAATCAGCTGGGTGAGCTCTGAGTTCAGTGAGACCCTGTCTCAAAACATAAGGTGGGAAGAGACTGAGGAAGACTCCTGGCCTCTGCCCTCCATACTCATGTGCACATGCATGCACATATATGCACACGTGCGTGTGCACACACATACACACGTGTGTGCATGCATACACCAAACATATACCACAGGCACATATAAGAAGTTTACAAAGTCCAAAGAAATATGTGGCCAACAAATATTTACTTGGAAGTATAAAATTCATTTCACTATCAAATGACACTACTTTTGATCTTCCTAATACTTTTAATTTATTATCTAAATAAACTGTTAAATTAATTTCAAAACTATTATTAGACATTAGAAGTACAAGGGGTAATATGGAAATCTTGACTTCGGACAACTTCCAAAGTTAATAATCAGGAGCACGACATTTAAGGGGTAATCTTAAAAAAAGAAGAGCCATACCAATCAGCTTGATGTTGTTGTCTTCATCTAGTAGCAAATTTTCTATCTTCAGGTCTCTGAAACAAACAAAACCATACATTTCAGATAAACATTTGGAAGGACAGAGTGACATTTCGTTCCTGGAGGACGTGAAAGCTTGGAGGACCACTTGGAACCACCCTCACACTCTCTGCCGAAACCTGGCCATGGAGTAAAGATTTATAAGATGGGACATAATTCGTTGCCACTGAGCATAAAATACTAAAGGAATCCAGAGTGAAACGGGGCAGAAGAGATGAGCCGTTTCCAGAATGGACCTCAAATCTGAATGTTAAACATAACTGAGACCAAGGAATAAATCAGTTAGTAAACGTAGGGACACAACAGTTCACACAGGTGCCGCCTGAGAACCACAGTTCTGGATTCGGGGCCGGGGTGGGGACACTGAAGAGCACCAGCTAGAGCCACCAGTGAATCTGGGGAGGAGCTTAAACAAAACAGGGCCAAGCGGGCTAAGGGAGCAAAGGCCCTCGCTACCGGGCATGACCACCAAGTTCAACCCCCAGAATCCACATGGAGGAAGAGAACCAGTTCCTGCAAGTTATCCTCTGACCTCCACACATGCCATGGTCCACCCTCCCCTGCCTCTTATCAATAAAGCAACATAAGTAAAATAAATAGAACTTGAAAGTTGATTTAATAAATCCATTCCACAGCCTCCACGGGCCTCCACGCTTAGCCTGTAAATGTCACCACACGTTGGCAGATGATAATAATTTAATCTATTTAGCAAACAGATGTTATCACAGGTGGAATAATGGATTTCACAGATGTCAGCCTCCTAATCCCTGGTGCCATGCCTGAGTGGATGCTAAGCTGACATGGCAAAGGGAATTGGAATGAAGAATGCCCCTTGGATGGTAGGTGACGTCACTCGTTGGCACGGAGGTGACAGGCTGGAGGCAAAAAGCAAGTAGAGCCCTCTGAGTGGGAGACTCAGAGCTGTGCAAGCTGACTGTAAGCTCCTACCGGGCGGGGAACAGGCCTGCCTTTCTCTCCACTGTACCAGGGAACCCTTGTTCACTGCAGGTAGTCAGTCACTAACACAGAGAGAAGCTAGGTTAGCAAAGAGATCATTTGGGGTCTGGAGCTGTGGTAACTGGCTGATGTGCACGATCCCCACCACTACAAAACAAAATTAAACCAAAGAGAAACCCTCCTGGGTTTCCGAAGCAAAATGTGTATTTGTACGAATGTGTGTATATATGAGCCATCTCAGAAGCGTCTCAGTCAACACACAAATTCTGGAATTTTACACTGACTCAGACATACGCTGAACATTAATGAAGAGTACTTTTCTAGGGGCTGGAGAGATGGCTCAGCAAGTCACAGCACCTGCTGCTCTTGCAAGGGACCCAGGTTTGGTTCCCAGCACCCACATGGTGGTTCACAACTGGTTATACCTCTAGTTCCAAGAGATCCAAGACCTGGCCTCCTACGGCTCTGTGAGTGCACACACATAGTGTAAATTCATACATGCAGGCAAAACACTCATACGCACAAAATTTTAAAAATCTTTTTAATAATACTTTTCCATAAGTGTGTATATATACACACATTTATACATCGTCTACTATGTTTGGTCCTGATTTAATTTTCCGACATAGGAATAGAGAAATCAGACAATAAATACTCTCTTTCTTATGTCTATTATGGGTAACTTAACAGTGTCATCATAATGAAGCACAAATGGTGGCTGGCACCTTACGGCAATGTCCCTGAATAGATGAGCATCACCAAACAGGGCAGCAATGTCCCACTCAACAGGGACGGTTGCCTATAGCCCAGTTCCTGTGCTGCCAGCACGCCCATTTTGTGAAAAGCCTGAAGTCTTGATTTGGTCTCAGTTTTTAAATACCGTCAGCAAACTTGCGTGTAAAATAACAATACCCATACTCTGCAAGTCAAGCTTGAGGCAGGATGTGGCCTGCCAGTAACCAATTCTCAACTCAGCATGACTAGGAGATGAAGCTCGGGAGAGATATGGGACTGGCCAGGGCCAGGGTAGAAAACAGGAGAAACAAAAATCAAATCAAATCCGTGTGCACAGGTCTCTGAGGGGTCCAGTCATTTGCAGCAGGTCTGGGCAGGAGAGAGCCGGGAGATCGCTTCCTCAGATCCACCAAGGATGGGTTAGAATGGGAAGAATCAGGAAGTCAGCTGAGGGGGGTGGTCAGTGAGTTCAAGATCAGAAGGCTGCTGGGAGCCTTGAGGCCTGGCATGTGGACGAGGGGTGTGGTAACACCAAGTTAGAGAATATAAATATGTAATGCCCTCTGAATGCACACGTAACTGGGGGAGAAGTCCGGACATCTTCAGCTCAAGCGAAACTACGCACGGTTCACTGGACACTGTTTTGAAAAGACAACACAAGTACCCAAATATCAGGTCACCCTAAATGTAAGGCAGCCCCACCCGCTTTCCCAATAGGCGGACCTCCCTTGGATCAGGGTTTTGGAAGCACGTGATATCAGCTTTCAGGACTGTGATGGGACCACCAAGTCACGCTGGCTAATATTCAGCTTTGATATCGCAATATCACCTCAGACTGTAAGGTGACGTGGAGCCTTGGTTTCTGCCCCAACACCACAAAAACAAAAGACGATATATTCAAATACCCACATAATTCACCATGTAGCTCTAGCTGGCGCAGAACTCTCTACATAGACCAGTCTGGCCTGGAACTCACGAGATCCATCTGCCTCCGCTTCCCGAGTTCTGGGAGTAAAGGTGTGCACCACCACACCCAGCCATAACTTTAGAATTATTACCTGCACACACCCCCACCTCGCATCTCATGAAACAGCGTCACCACCACTTGTCAGGTCAGAACCGAAGTCTCTCTGGGTCACTGCATGGGAGCTAAGCCTTCCTGAGCCAGACATTTACAATGGCACACCTGGTTGTCCTCTGCTGCTGGGGTTCCTGCACGCTTCTGCAGGAACTCTCGCACTGAGTCTCAGCACTAGCTAACACTGTGGAAATGCGTATCTGTGGATGTTAATATTTGCTTGAAACCCTAAACCATAGGCACCCATTTAAAACCCCCATAAATTAACCACTCAATGGGTTGTTTTCCGTGTAATCCCTAAGCCATCACAGCTGGGGCCATTCTTGCAGAAGCTGTGTCCACTGTCTTCATCGTCCCTTCTGCCATAGTCTTAGGATGAATGCTGGAGCCCAGCAGTGTCATCGGTGACGCAAGTCAAGTGTTATGTGTCTTCTACAGCGACGGCTTGGTCGGTGACAGGGATTTCCAGAGAGACCCTGCAAAGGACGGCTTCTTTCCCAGAGATAACCACGGCTTTATACGAGCCTCACTTTTACTCGAGCACTTAAGGTAATTCCAACACCCAGACAAACATACAGCAGAGAGCCAGGAACAGCCAAAGTGTGACTCGGTGAATACTGACTACACAGCACGGCACTATTTCAATCTAAGGCAAAGACACAGTTTGCTTCAAGTGAAATTAAGCCTCCCTGACTAAAGGAAGTCACAGTCAGGCATTAAAGGGGGAAAATATTGTTCAGAACAAATATTGTACAAAAAAAAAAAAACAGCTTAAAGAGTCGGGGGGAAAAAGAAAGTAATTGATAAGAATAATAATTGAAGCTGAGCAATTCTGGGGCCATGAATGCCTAGAAAAAAAACAGTAATGATTAGAGCAAGCACAGAAAAGAAACACTATAAAAGAAAAAATAGCTACAGAAACCAGAGAAAGTTTATAAAACCAAGAGGAAGTATAAAATATAATTATTTGGTAAAAGGAGAATAAAACCAGCTCAAAGCCACTACCTTCCTACGCACAATTCTCCTGAAGCGCTCGAATCCAGTCACCAGGAAAAACAGAGAGAACAAACCTAGCTAGCAAGCGGCCACGCCATAATACTCTTGTTCAGCTTCCAAGATGATTCCAGCGGGAACCAGCTTCACTACCAGGATGTCCCAAGGCTAGCGGTGGGGACAGGAAGTCCCTGGGTACCAAGTGATCTTGACTGCTGAGGTGGCAGAAGCATTGGCCGTCTCAGACATTATTCCGACTTCCTGCTTTGAAAGGAGACTGCTTCCCTGTGGTCTCCCGTGTCCAAATTTGGGGGAAGGCATGTTTTGTTGGTTTGCTTGCTTTAAGATGAGGTGGAATGAGGGTTGAGGAAGGGGAAGTGTCTTGCTACGTAGCTCAGTCTGACCTTGAACTTGTGGCAATGCTCCTGCCCCAGCTGCCCACCCCTGCCTTCATGTCCAGCTTTCTAATGTTGCTTTTTCCTGATCACAGCAAGCCCTCTGGATTCAGGAGTTCTCCAAGCTCAGATTGAAAATATATGGGAGGAGAAAGACTTCCTGTGCGGAGGGTACCCAGACGCTGTCCTTGTCGTGGACGGGCAGTGTAACTTAACGTGCGTAGTGTTTGCACTGGCTTAGCCATTACAAGCAATCGAGAGACGGCCAAGGGCTCTGTGCAAACACGAGATAGGTCATTTCATTTCAGAGGCTGGAGTATCTAAAGATGGGATGGGAGGCGTTGGGGTGCTGGTGAAACGGCCTTTGTGGGTCTGTGCTGCTGTATCCATGGCATCATAGAGCTACAGGGCTCACAGAAATTCACGATGCCGGGAAACTTAGTGCCAACTGCAGCCCTCAGTCAATGTCCATGTCTTCGTTCTAGGTCACCAACTAAGACAGGGTGCTACGGCTACCCAAGATACGTAAGTAGACAAAGGGAAGGTGAGTGGGGACCCTGGAGTTTCTGTGCAGTTTCTCTACAAAGTCTATGATCTTTTCCAAGGAGCCTTTACGCTTTTCTCTTCCTAGTGTTAGGAACATGCTAGCCCCCCCCCCCGGGTGTTCACTGACCCTGGGGGAAGAGTGGTGCCAACGGCCAACAGAGGAGGGAAATGAGCAGATCTTCCCACCATCTTACAATACTAACAATGCGTCCTCATGGCAAGGAGACCATGCGGTTCAGTGTTGGTTTGTGAAAGTCACTTTTCCTAGGCTGCAGGGCTTCAAAGAGGAACA